AACTGGAGATTGAGACGGCCTTCACATGTTGACATTTGCAAACAGCTTTTCCCACTCTCTGGGCCACCGAAGCAGCCTATCGATCTAGATGCAGACCAAGAGGAACAGGGTTCAAAGCTTGAAGAAAGTGAAGAGGATGAGGAAGCAAAGAAAACAAAGTCTAATGACAAGGGGACCTATAAGGACCAATTTTTTGTCACATATCATATGCATGTCATGTATCAGTGCGTTTTTTACTATTTAAACATCACCAACCAATGAAACCCATGATGTCCAGGACCGTGGGCCTTTGTGTGTGCCACCCACACTCCCCCAAGCGGCCGCTGAAGCTACCGAGAAACTGATCTCCAGGGAGAACAGCCTTGCAGCTGAAGATCTTCAAAAGGCCTGGCCATGTTCGATCGTCGTGCCCGGCTTCAATCAACGAAGATCAAGTGGTTGGGTTTTTGGTGCTAGGCCCAAAGAGTTCTTCGCAAAGCTGCCAGGGATGGGGGAGAAGGGGAAGAGCGGGGAGAAGACTCGTCGCAATGTTCAGAAAATTTGCAGAAGAAGAAGCCACCTGCTGGGAAAGCAAAGGGGGGGAGAGGCAAAGGAAAGGGGAGAGGAAAAGGCAGGGGTAAGGGCAGGGGCAGGAAACCAAGTGACCCAAAAGCTGAAGCAATGAAGGAGAAAAACCGAGTCAAAGCAAAGGCTCAACCTCAACAGATTGAACATGATCCCATTTCCGAACCCCCGAAGAAAGCAAAAACAGAGAAGACAGTCAATATGGATCAGGACTCCATCGGGTAAACCTGCCAGTTTATATGTTTTACATATTCGAATATGGACGCCTGTATGTCATACGCAGGATATGGAAGAACTCTCACGTATTGACGATGGCCTTTTCTATGTTGAAGACATTGCTGGAAAGGCACAGGTGTACCAAACTTATTTTCCTTCTGGAGAGTGGGATTCCTTTTAGCCGGCCGTGCCTTGCAAGTGTGTCATCCTGAGGTCGTGGACCATCCAAGGGCCTGACGGACATCAAAGCATTGGTGTGGTGCCGGGGGCTCGTCGTGGGCGATAACTGGCTCATTTTGGTATGAGTTGAAAGCACGCTCAGGGCCTATGCAAGGAGCTTCTACGTTAAAGACGTTCCAACGGATCGAATGAAGAAGTTCAACGAGCGCTGGGGCACTTCCTTTAAAGCTGGACACTTACCACTTTTATATATTCATATACTTATAAGACATTTGGCGCGCTAGGTCAACAAAAAGAAGGGGGCAACCGTTGGCTTCTGTAAGTTCTCATCTATCAGTGATGCGTTTGAAACTCAGCTAAAGCTGCCAGCACCAACAATGGGAATGCACTTCAGTCACAGGTGGGTGGCTGCAAAGGAGCTCGCTGGTTGGCCTGTGGATGTGGACTAGCGGTTCATTTTCCAACTAGATAGCTACTGGGGTTTAGTGATCAGGAGTTCCCCATAGTCTGGACACATGGCTGACACTTCGATTCACAAATTGAAAGCGCTTTCAAAACAGATGTCTTCGGAGGTTCTGTTCCACCGGGGTAGCTCCATGATCCAAATAGACATGCAGGGCAGGGCATTAGAAAAGAGTGAATTGCCTTTACTCTTCGTTTCGTGAACTCATTCATGCGCATGAGCTCATGTGAAAATGGGTGAGGAGTACAAACTTTGTGATGCATGCATAAGTCATGAATAGTCATGATCACATGAATCGCAGTGTTTCCCAGCTAGCCCAAAAAGACAGGGCTTGTAGACTGTCGACCCAGATTTGGAAATGGGTAGATCACCAGAATGGATGTTCTCCAACCTGGCCCTGACCAAGAGTACAGTCCGGGCCTTGCTCGCGGTTGGATTCCCAACCATCATGCGAAGACCTCAGGCGTCAACAGTACAGTTCTCTTGGAGCGCGCATATGTGGTGGTGTGTTTCTATAGATTGTGCGCACACACATTATTATTTGAATGAGGTTGCATTTCTGCGATTATTTGGCACAGAATAACTACCAGGACCTGGAGAGAGTCGAATCGAATATATTCTCACTGTTTGCCAACCTCCCTCACCTAGGACCTATCCAATGTCGACCTGTTCAGTGGCCAAGGTGCCATTTGGAAGAGCTTCAGCTGGCATCTCAATGAGTGATCCGCTTGCAAAAAAACTGAATGAGTCAATTTGCTGGCCATTGTGTTTGCTTCTTAGACGATGCTGGAGAGAGGACGCTGGCACCTCAATCTTGACATGCTTTGTCATCATGACCGTAGATGACTCATCTATAAAATGTTTGAGGGCCCACCTCGAGTTAGAGGAAACAGATCTGGATGATCTTACATCTGTGTGCGCCTCTCAGCCTGGTCGAACCTGCAAACTTCCCCTGACTTGATCCCCGGCCATCAGGTCTGGGTTTGCAAGGGCAACCTTGCATGTCCTGCGCCTCAAGCCTTCTGGCTTGCTCACAGCGGGCCTACCATGTAGCTCTTATATATTCCTCAACAGGGGAACCAGCCTGCGCTCGAAGCAGAGACCACTCGGTGACCAAAGCAAGGGCTATGTAAGAGTATCCAACCAGTCACCCTGCTGGATATTGTAATTTGATGTAATTTGAATGAAATCCACCATTGCATCTTAATTCTGTTGGAGCTGTTACCTGGCCGGAAGGTTTCTTGTTCATGCTATAAGGCTTGGATGCCGCTTGGTATTGCTTTGCCTTTTGGCATCCCTTCGTGCATGCCAATGGCTGATCGAGCAGCCATCATCAAGCACATTTGTTTGGTTCCCCTATTTGCAGTTCTTGCAGAGAGCTTTAAAGCCTCACATACCCATCCACTTCCAAAGATTGCCGGTAACTCAGGATGGTGCCGCCATGAAATCACCGATCCCATAGTTTCCAAAGCCTGGGCATGAAACCCTGTCTCTGAGTTGGATGGGCATTTTTGGTGCAAAGTCTCCCAAGCTGACCATTGGCATTGGGACCCCGTCTGGGCCCCAAATCCATTAATGATCAATATATAGTAGATCGACTTCAAGCACCTCTTGCCACTTAGGAAGTGGATGGCCAAATTGTGGAAACCTCTGACCAAAGCGCTGAAAGCCAAGCTGAAGTTGAACTCGAAGGGGGTTGTCAAAAAGACCACGTTGAAGAGCGGAAAGCAATCTGTGTAGGGATACCTAGTTTTTGGAAGTGTTGGGAACCAAGTCATTATAGTCGAGCGAGAGCATTCGGGTCTTCCAGGCAGGGTGGCCCACTTCTTCGGGCTACCCAGATCTACCCAAAGGGCTTCGGCCGGAAGATTGCTTCCCTCCACCGTGCGTATATGGCCGTAAGCTCATTGATCTTCATATTATATATATATACGTGTTTTTTGATATCTCAGTGGGCACTGGAGGCCAAGGCCTCCTTTGACAATGAAGTGGCAGTGAAAGCAATTGAAGCCTGTGGGGTGGGGATCCCAATGATCATGTATATATATATATATCCTTGCAAATCCCTGAGCAACCTCCTAACCGACTGACCACTTGAGGCCCGGGGCATCAAGGTGCCTTTCAGCTGGAAGCATGCCGACCTCAAACCGGTGGGCGAGTTTTTGAAATCTGAGAAGGCAGCTGGTAGGTTCAAACCCAGTTTCAAGCTTGACTTCTGAGCTAGCAGTGAGCATACTGTCCACTCGAAGTGCTGTAAATCTCTGTGAGGAACAGTTTGATGTTATTGATGCTCCCACTGCTGTACTGCACACAAATTTGTAATTATAGTAGTTCCTCAACTACTCGAAGAAAATGCTGTTCGAACCCATAGTGTGAAAAGTCCGTGAAACGACCGTGAAAAACCCTTGAAACCACCGTGAAAAACCCGTGAACACCATGCAAAAACTTCAACCATTTTTGCATTGGTGTTTGATTGGCTCATAGCGTCCATTTTTCATATTTTGGTGATTTCCATGGCTAAATCTGCAATCCAAAAAGCAAAAGACAGGGCAGCCAAGGTTGCACAGGAGTCGTCTTTGAAGGATGCTGGGTCAGGACCCCCAGCTATAGTCTATTATAAGTGCACACCCTCGACCGTGCAAAGCTGCTGAGGCCCCCCGATGCACCAGAAGCAGGCCCACACTAGATTGCTAGTACTAGTACTAGACCCTTAAGATTCTAATTGGTTTCTTGGAGGTGCCAGTGCTCCTCATCATGGTCAAGGTGAACAGCTGGCGACTCCCCCATCCAGGATTAGGTGCAGAGGGAAAACCAAGGAGATCCAGCGTATTGAATCCGCTGAGACCTTGAGATTTGGTGAGACTCGTGATTCGCTGCCGTCAGACCCGTGCGTCAAGCGTGCCACCACCGTCGAACAGGAAACCAAGGCATCAAAAGGGGCTACCCCACACACGGCTTCTGAAAGGAAGCGCAAGGTGCCACCTGGATCATCCTCTGACAGGAAATCTGGTAGAAAAATTGCTGCTGAGGATGGGAATCCGGATGATCAAAAGCCAAAGCGTTTGAGAAAGATGAACACACAAGACCTTCCCAAAAGTCCCATCAATCCCAAGTCTCTGCCTTTCGACGCTCCAACCCCCGACCAAGCTGCCATGATGAAGTTGCCAGATCATGAGGAGGTCATGCCGCCCAAGGAGCCTGCAGCAAAAGGCAAAAAAAGGAGAAGGAGGAAACGGAGGAAAAGGAGGAAAAGGCTAGCAAGGCTTCAAAGGGAAGGAGTGCCAAGGCGAAAGCCAAACCAAAGGCAAAAGAAAGTCGAAAAGCACAGGCGAAAGCAAAAGCAAGTCCAAAAGCAAAGACGAAAGCAAAAGCAAGTCCAAAAGCAAAGGCGAAAGCAAAAGAAGCAGCACGCCCGGCAGCAAAAAGCAAGGCGAAGGTTGAGAGCAAGGTTAAGGAGGACACAAAGGAGCCAGAGGAGCTGGAAGAGCATGATCTCGCTGATCATGATCATGAGGAAGGTGAATCTAAAAAAGAGGCAAAGATCAAGGAGAGGAACAAGAATGCACACAAATTGTACATGCGGTTCTGGCGGAACGTGCGGAGCCAGGGCCTAAATATAGTTTCTTTAATGCATATGTCACATGCAAAAAGCAGTATGTGCATCACATGGTTTAATTCATGTACATACAGTATGATCAGATCAGGTCGGGAGACACCAAAGGAGATCAAGGATTTGCGAAAGAGGTTCAAGTATTGCTTGGTACTCAGCATGCGCATATATATATATATATACAAAGTAGCCATGTAGTCGTTTACATATAACTGCGAGGCCACGCGCAGCAGCAAATGCTCTATGAAGACTTCCTGAAGACTAAGGGCAAATGGCGCCAGGGTGTTGTCTGGAGAGAAGTGGTCCAGCGTCACAGGGGTGTAACTCGGGGAGTTCGAAAGTGGCTGACCAGGAAACAGCTCATCGAACATTTTGTGGATGAAGAGACGGCCGATGCTGTAATTGCCAGGAAACACGAAATTCAGGATCTTGCGGGTACAGAGATACGCGAACACCCAGAGTTACCAGGACCGGATTAGAGCATTAACCATTAAACTACGTGTTTGATTCTTGCGATAGGACTGGAACAGTACCTGGTCTTGGTTGAGGATGAAGAAGTCCAAGAGGATGAGAACCTTATGACAGACATGTTCAAATGCAAAGATGAGGGTTCAGCGTCTGAGAGTGAGTCCAGTGAAAGCTCTAGCAGCACGAGGGGCAAGAAGAAAAAGAAAGATAAGAAAGGGAAAAAAAGGCAAGAACTCGAAGAATAAGAAGAAGAAGAAAACAAAGGGGAAGAAGGGGAAGAATAAAGGAAAGGGAAAGGAGTCAGAGGAGGAAGATCCAGAGAAGCAAAAGCTTGCTGAATCAGAAAAGACAGCTCGTAAGGCACTGCTTCAGTAAAACCAACGTGCTCAAAAGCAATCACTTGTTCCTGTCAGACCTTGGCTGACATCACGAAGAAGATCAAAATCTGCAATGTTGAAATGACAAAGACTAAAGACATGTGCACTTCTTAGTTCATGAGCTCATGAACATATACTATAACATACTGTTTGAAGCTTGAGGTTTTTCCACTCCCGCTTGAGGTCAGCCAACATGAAGGAGGCGTTTGAGAAGGATGTGGGCCAGGCCTTGAAGAAGCTCTCAGACGCCCGCTCGGTGATGCAGAAAGCCCTGGAAGCCGGATCGAAGGACTTGGGTTGCGCACTCTAATTAGCATCATCCCATTTAAACACTCTTGCAGGATGCAGCCAAAGTCGACAAGGCTTGTGAGGTAGGAACCAAAGCAGTCGAAGGCTGCGACGGAGTCATGTTAGCATTGGGCAAAAAGAAACCCAAGCCCAAAGAATCCAAAGAATAGCTAGATCATGCTAGATCATGCTTTGGAATGTAGGGGATCAGTGTGCCGATTTGAGATGATTCATGCATGCAGCATGCAGTTTAAAGTTTAAACAAAGATCGCAAGGCTTTTTATTGGCACTCTAGATAATGTTCACGCGTGCATACGCGCGCACTGATCAGTGCTCCGGCCAGCCTCATAGACCCGCTGAACCTAGCCGGGCAGAGTCGAAGGAGCCAATCACCAAAGCGCAAGGTGATCTAGAGTTTTGGAATCCGAGCAAACGAGAAAGGGTACGCATCACAAGAGTTCCGTCTGATCCGACTAATTTACCGGATATTGTTTTTGAAAACCATGCCACGCAGGTTTTGGATGTGAAGAACACCGACATCACCAAGTATCTTCCATTTTGGATGCTGTCGCTGGAGGGGTTGGGGGCCAAGTCAAGTTTGCTCTTTACATGGAGGCTGCCCGACCCAACAACCAAGGCCTCAATCGATGAGAAGATGGCTGACATCAACTCTTGCCTCAGAGACGCTTGTTTTGGGATAGGGATGGCCCTTGTTCAATTTGAATCATTGGTCCGGGTTGATCTTTGGCCGTTTCCAAGGACACTCCAGTGGGATTGCCCAAAACCATTCGCAAGCTTGGAAGTTACGGCAGGTTCAATCGTGCTAGAGACTTTCGGCGAGCTTTGAAGCCACCAGTGGAGCGGGGCTGTCAAACATATCCAATAATGTACATGTTTTTTGTCTATATACAAGGATCCACATGAGCACCAGTTTTGTTCCAGGAGCCGATCATGGTTGAGACATTGGTGAAGGAAAAACTTTCAGGAGATGACATCACCACAAAACCTATGAGGATTCCAGCGTTTCTTCCTGAACATCTGCTGGCACACCTGTTTGGCCCACTTGGGATGGAGATCGGAGATGATGCGGTGTCCATGTACTGGGCACATGCGAAAAAATACAATTGCCCTTGGAAAAATATATCGCCTGATGGTACCCATCAACCACTGGGACTTTACGGGGATGCCGCAAAGTTCGCCCCAACAGGGGAAAAAATCATTGCTGTGTTTTTGAACATAGTTCTTTGGGCTCCCAAATCATCCAGAATGAGCCGATATCTTCTCTTCAGCCTGGAGAATGACCATTGCCTAGGACCTGCAACTTTGAACCCGTTGATGGCTCCTATTGTCGAATCCCTTTGGCGGTGCTTTCAGGGGATCAATGTGATGGGTCGAACGATGCATTTCGCAGTATCGGAGTTGAGAGGGGACTGGGAGTGGCATGTCCAGTCCCTCGACATGCAACGTTCCTGGAGGATGTCGCAATTCTGTTGGAGGTGTGACGCCAGCAAACGACCCGGCGATCCATGCTCCTTTTGGGACTTGTCTGATGCACCAGATTGGGAAAGAACGCAACTATCACATGGTCAGTTCTTAGCCCGGATGATCAAACCAGAAACAGCTAGATCCTCACAAGCAATTGGTACCTCAGTTTTTTCCGATATATATTATGTGTACCATATAGCTGAGGAAAAATCAATGACTGATGTGACCTATTTGACTCGGATTGTATGAGGTGCTGTACTGCTACTGCCGAACTTCCACTTTGGTATACTTCGCCATTGCAGCTTACACAACTTGAACTTGGGCATAATGGGAACAGCCAATGGGGGAGCTTTGCTTCCTGGTAATAAATATATGTGTACAGGCATGTGCCATATGCCCCTGAGATTCATGGACCTACCCCCAAGGTTACTACTGGCAGACCTCTCGTTTTTCGGGTGCGCTGAGACATTGACGCTGCGTCAAAGGCTGGCTGTGGCATACCGAGACTTTCGGCAACGGTTGAAGGCAAACCAGGTGCAATGTGGACAGCCGCTTTTTAGAGAGTCTATGGTATCTTGCCCATATAGATTTTTCACATGTGATTTCAATATATAAATATAGTTATTCCATTGCCTCAGGTATGGTCCAAGAATTCTGGAGCCTATTTAACCGCCAAAGGCTACAACAACAGGTGTGTTCTGGCATGGCGATCAGATTGCATGGCAATTGCAATGAACAAGGTTGTTCCAGTGAATCGCTATGTTGGAGCCTGGATCCAATCCGAAGTTGCAGCAAACAATATGGCCTGGCCATATCATGATATGCTGGGGCCAACAGCTGTTTGTTTGAAACTTTCATGCATATATCATGAGTGACCTTCTTCATTTTTGGTAATTGCACTTGGTTGGTTTCCTGCCCAATCCTTCTGGCCCTTCTCCTGAGGGACGCGCTGAACCAGATGTTCTTGACAATGGAGTCTTCTGGTCGGTACCTGTCGCCCAGCTGTCATGATCTGGTGCCATGTGAATCCCTATGTAGAGACTACTCTTGTGGCTTCATGATATTTAAGGACTAGATCAGAAGCGGATCGCATCCACGACTACGGCATGACGTTTTTGAGAGTTCACCGACTGTTGACATCCATGTCCCAAAGGCCAGGGGTGTGACAGCCTCCAACTCTGACATTGTTTTTCCATGTTTTTCCTTCTTGGCAGGCACAATCTGCTCTTTTGGTTGTCTAGGCCTAAGATCCATGTACCTTGGCCATGGTAAATCTGGATTTCCAGGTGTGGGGGGGGCCTCAGCTAGTTTGTCCCTTCGCATGCCTAGATGGTACATCACCAATTGCGTGATTGCAAGGCACGCCGTGGCTTGGCAAAATAGAGGCAAAATTTGGCAGTGAGTCCAATGACTCTGGTGACTGTATGTTGAATGTGTTTTTCCTCGGCGACTCGAGGCTATAATATACGCTTCGAGCATACATTTATAGACGAGGACCAAATGAAGTGGGTCAAGCGCACTTCAGCACAATTTGGAATATGCAGCAACCTCTCTATGTTTCAACTCTGACACTCTCCATGCTACAAGTATATATAGTCCTTGGAGCATGGACCTGAGGAATATGCCAACTCTCTGACCGACGCAATTTAGCAGCATCGATTGCTCGGAAAGCACCACTTAGATTGCTTTCGATGAAGTCTCACATGCAACAATTGAACGTGATCAACAAAAGACGTGTGCTCAAGTGAAAAAGCAATTGGCGCACGTCGCTTGGTTCTCCACGAGGTGGGCCGCTGCTGCTGGGCTGCTGGGTGTGTGGTGTGTACCCCCCACCCCATATCTAGATATATATCATGATACATATATATATAATATATATGTACTATATATACATCGGTTTTCAATTGTCTTTAGGTAAAACCATGTCTTTACCGCAACGACAAAGTTTAACCTTGACTTTGGAAGCCTTGGGTATCAATAATATATCACCGCTGAAACACACTGTTTTGGAGGAAATTTTGTTTGAGTTGAGGTGTTAAGATGGACTCAACTGCCTTCGTGGCTGAAACATTTGTACCTAGAAGCACCTGGTGCAACCTTTCTACCTCAGGAGGATTCACGGAAGAAGACGGCAAATCCGCGAATCCGGTTGAACTATTGTCAGGAATTTGTTGGGCACGCAACATTCAACGCAGTCTTCCAAAAGCCAGTCTACCACTGGCCTTCAAAAACGCAAGACATGTCGTGGTGCAAGGACATCGTTTTGCATCTCAAGCTCACCCCCCTATACCGAGGCCGATTTGGACCTGTTTTAGCGGGTCAAAACCTGGAGTCCCAAACACCATCGGTTTCTATAGCTTGACCGTCAGCAAAGCATATGGGTCAACCAAAGCATCTGGGTTTTGACATCCTTATGTTCAAGCCCTGGAAAAGCACTGGTTTTTGAAATAATTACACCTTGGAAGACGATCCCATGGACCCTGAAAACCACTGGTTGGTAGAGGAAAACACTCTTCCAGGGGGCCAGGACGTCAGGGTCTATGTTAGTTGACTCGGGAGTGTACACCTTGTACCAGGGAATTCCCCGGCTGTTTGGGGGAATCTTCGCGCCGTGTCGTTTTCCAACTCTTTGAAGCGGGGTGTTTTCGGCCCTTTTGAGCCTCCCATGTTTCATCCTCCTTCCGAACAGGTCTGAACCATGCCAGGCTGCCAGGCTTTATTTCAGAACCACTCCATCCTGAGCCACACAGGATGGACTCTCACCATCTTCTGCCCGAGATATCCCGACCGCTCCCGTTCCGAGCTCCGGCGGCACGGAACGTGGAGACAAACGAACGATGGTGTTTGCACATGCTCCCCGTTTGGGATCCAAGTAAGTACCTTCTCAGAAGGCACGACTGGACCCTCCTGGCAGCCACCCCAAATCCAAATGGAGATGGCCCGGGTCAAACCTGGTCGGAGGTGAAGCCATCAAACTGATGGTTTCACCACTGATGATGGAGGTGAAATGTCGTGAAAGACCATGTGGTTCACCTGATGGTCGTCCACTATCTGCCGCGAACGACTGGTCCACAGACCAGGTAGGGAATAATCCGGAACCAGTCTCCTGGTGCCACGAGCCACAGCCCAATGAAAGTTCCAGAATTCTCCTGGCCAAGGGCTTTTGGTGCCTTTGGGTCGACCTTGGTCCTTCTCCAGGAGAAGATGTTCACCTTGGTGCAGCACGTGCCAGTGGAAAGCTTCAAGGGCCTTCAGACGGAGAACGTCCGAGACGAATGAGGAGTCCGGAGCATTCGATCGGTTGGTCTCACTCAAAGACTGGTTGGTCTCACTGGCAGGGAGGGGGACGCCACTGGGACATCAGGTGATTGATCTGGACATGAGGTGGTTGCAATATCTTTGTTCTACTGTCGTTTTTTCGGATCTTGGATGCTTGATTGGCATACAGACCAATGTTGAACGATCAACACAATAAGTATCAACGCACCTGTTTTAACATGTTTTAAACCTGCGCAGTTCACTCGCAATTGCATAGTGCAACTAAATGTGTTTGTTATTACTGTATATATTGTATATACACATGTTTTGTATGTTTGCCAAACATGCGGAGCTTTGAAACATAATCCCGAGTACCTATTTTAAAAAGCCTCCCCAAATAGAAAACACAATGTCCGAAACCCTAAATTTGGTTTATATTTGTTTTTAAACTACCGCCCTTTCAAACCGCTACTAAACTACGAACATGGTCGATGTTGGGTGTAGTTTATTTTAATATAGTTCCAAAAGCAACCATGCAATAGAGGATTTTGTAGGGGAAAAGGGAAGACCCTTCCATTTGGAGGTTTTTGAATTTTTGATACGAGTTTAATAACAAATTTTATGCAACAATTTCCTGCGTGACTTTTTGGTTTTGAAGCTCTTTCCAGGTGACCCTATTTTGGACCACCCCGATTTCAGGGACCCCGTAATTAAAATGCGACCGAGGTTTTCTTAATAGGGGGGGGCGCATGTTCTTTTTTTTAATAGGTGGACAGGATTAGTCAAGATACAGGTCTCAGACCTTCTTGAATCCTCAAGTTGGCTCCGCTTTGAAGTTAATTGGGCTTTGGCCAGAGTAGTGGTTCAAGTCTCACGGAGGTTGTGAATGATTTCAAGTTCGCTTCTACTTGCTGCTTGCCTTTTTGTATTGATTCCCATTAAATTTGTTGTTGGAGACCTACAGGATTCACATGGATTCACCGTGACATGCAATGGGAATTCAAGGGGTTGCCAAAACAGAATTCCAAACATCAGCGGGCTTGGCATGTGGCCGTCGGCAGATGTCGCACCTTCTCGACGTGTTTTCCCGAATGCGTAGCGAAGGGTTCTCGTTGAACTCTGGGTCTGGGGGTAGAGCCTTAACAAGCGACTCGTTGTCCGAGCGTTCGCAACCGTCCGCAGGTGGAGCGCTATGGCGCTGACGTTGGGCGAAGCTTTTGGAGAGGGTTTTGGATGGATTCATGACGCGTCAGATTCGTGTGGAATAGTGAGGAAACGTGTGGAAACGTGAGAGGATTCAAAGAGTGTCCTACAAGAGTGTCCCACAACAGTGTCCCGCAAGAATGCCCGACAAGAGTGTCCCACAAGAGTGACATACAAGAGTGTGCCAGAAGAGTGTTTGGCCAGAGTGTCCCACAAGAATTGTCCGACAAGAGTGTCCTACAAGAGTGCCCCACAAGAGCGTCCTACAAGAGAGTGTCAAAGTTTGGGCGCTTGCTTTTGAGTACGTGCTTGCATTCGGGCTCATGGGCTCCATCTTGTTTTCGATCTGACCTGCAACCTGACATGCTGGGCTTGGGTGGGTTTTTGAAGCCAGTGCGAATTCTTTGAGAGCACAGCGAACTTGTGTCGAATGTGCAAACCTTTCAGAACCCTCTAGACTCTTCCTCTCGCTCAGGAGGATGAAATCTGGACGATCAAGACGGGAGGTAGGCCCCCCCCCCCAGAAATTCATACTTGAAGCCCTTCTCCAAGACCATTGCAACTGTCCTTGTTTTGAGGAGCTTTCTGAGGGGGACGAGACCATCACACCGGAGCTGTGCGTTTCTTTCAGAGATGGTCATTGTCCTGACTAAACCGGCCAACCATCGACCCAGAAAGCACCCCAGGATGGGCGAAGCCGAGGAACCAAGTCTTCTTCCCCAGAAGGGGATTCACTCATAGATCTTGTAAGAAACATAAACATCACCCTAAACAAAACCAAAACACCCATGAAACACACTGTATGGGGGCCTTCATGCGAAGAAAACTTAGAGCAGTGCGGAGGACCGTAGGACTTGGATTTCTATGATTTTTTTCTCAACACTCTGCTGCTGGCTGTTCAAGCTTGGCTGATGAGGGCATGCAAAAGTTACATCCGAGGCATTGATAAATGGCAGTCCACGTAATTAGGGACCTGTGCATCGGAAAACCTTGTCCACGTAGGGCCATCCCATGTGAAGGATTTTGGACTCTTCAAGGAAATAAGAGTTTGCCATGAGCATTGGGATACTAAGTAGAGTATAGTATAAGTGCAGTATGTGTTTCTGAAAGATTTGGCTGAAGTCTGAGACCACCTCTTCAAGAAAGACCCCACAATTGACCTACTGACCTACTTCGCCTCTTAAAGAGGGTGGAATGATGGTGATCAACGCAGTGGACCACAACAGACTTAGCTTCCATCCTACTGCGGGCTTAGTAGTGCGTGGAAGACGTGGGTGACGTGCCATGAGCAAAGAAAAGGACGTGGCAGTTGATGAGTCGTGGGGTCCCAGATTGGCGGCTGGTCTGGGATTCCAGGAGTCGTGGAAGTCCAACATGTGTTGCGAGAGTTGCGAGGAGACTTGTTTGTTCGGAGAAGGTTTATCTCCTTTCAGACGGCCGGATGGCAGAGGGATTTTTCATAAATGCGAGGTTAAGCCAAACTGAAGCCCTGGTTTTCCTTTTTCATCCTTTCGCCACCTATCTTTCGAGCCACAGCCATGTGTTGAGGCGGCCTCAAACGAGGAAGAAGGCTACAGTCATCGATTAGTAAAGTAAGTATGCTCTCTGAGTTGTGTGTCTCAAGGAGAGCTGAAGATGTTCGGCTATTTCCACATAGAACAGACATAGAACAGTCGCACAAGGCATCCTCGGAACAGGATGAGATAGCAACACTGGTAGAAACGCGTGATGAGCTCCAACCACCTCCTTTTGCGGGTCGGGTGTTGCTTCACAGTGCTTTTGGAGGGCTAAGACGGCTAAGACTTTTGCGGTACTTGGAACAGTTTTGGAACGCTAGGGTATACCACTATAGTATATACCTAGAACCCATTTGACCTCTGTTTTGATAGGAAGTCTGAGCATATTTTGGGTGGTTCATGGTCCAAAATAGAGGTCAACTCAGGTTCTGGGTATATATAGACAATTATATGGCACCTCGTGACCCCGGGTTTACAGCATGACCCGGTGAGGCTGTGAGATGTTGTGAGGCGAACGAACATCAACAGCTTGAACCCAATGAACAATCCTGTCGACACTCCATGTAATTAAAATGGTATACGGTATTTTTTTGTATATATATATGCCGCCCCAGGTTGAACCCGACTTCTGGCCCAGCCTGACATGCATGGATTCATATGCCAGTCCCAGACAGGTCGTCTTTGGGAAGAATGGACAGATTTAGCCCTGCTTGGCCTCTTGAACCCCCTTTGCTCCGGTTTTGGACATGGCCTTCGGAGGCTCCCTGTGGGCCTGCTCGCGTCCTTGATGCAAGTCCAGGCAACATAACGTGACGTTTCCATCACGTAGGAGTCCTAGGAGCTGCACCAATGCTTAGGGTGATTTATTACATATTTTACCCGCCCGATTGGATGCATGAATCCCTAAGCCGGCGGTTTTCACGCTTCCTCAAGCAAACCCAAGAGGAGCTGCACCATCAAAACCCTGTGCGGCCTTTGTGTTCTTGATTTTGGCTCATGAAGTCAGCAGAAGACGATTTCCGGGTGACTCAGTCTTACTGAGTCTCACTCTTCGTGCTTGGTTTTGCTAGAGTCGGGCCAAATCGGTATACATTGCGTATTACGCGATTTGGACATTTTTAATGTGTGTTACAGATGATTTTACATATGAGCTCATATGATCTATAATACATATTTTATGCATCCCCATAGCAACCATATAGGCTTCCCTGCGTGTTTGATTCCTCTAGTTCCTTCTTCAGCCCGGTCAGACGCGACACTGCGGTGACCTCGGCGACTCCGCGGTGCGACTGTTCTGTAGTAGGGCCAGACATCCCTAGGCTCCAGTCGTACCTCCTCAGGTTTGGTATGGCTGGACCCGACGGGTCGGCACCCGGGCCCCGGTCGTCTAAACGAAGGTACGACAGGAGCCCTACGGCATATGCATGAACATGCTATCATTGCTAATCACCACACTTTAGTACGGAGCATGTCGAAGCACAAGAACCAGTTAAAACAGTGATACTCCAGTTAAAGCAGTGATACTCTCTCCAAACAAAACAATTGGAAGTCTAGGAACATAAGTTATATAGATCGACGGTCATAGTCGCACTTTCGTCAACAAACGATGCCAAATTGAAATGTGAATAGTAACGACTGTGAACAAACAGGTAGTACAACCCCAGAGTCGCACTTTAACCAACAAAGATTTGGTATGTCCATCGGCCTGGTATGTCCGTAAAGACCTCCATTCGGACCCAGCCCTTCGCTGCTCAAGCCGCTGCTCGACGCACAGAGCTGCCGCAGCTACACTGCGGTGGACATTTTGACATATGAGGTGGCCCCCTTCCCCACGTGAGCTTGCACATCCTTGCAGCAAATGTACTTGTTTGAGATGGATACAGATACAGTATGATACAGTGATGCTTCATGCCGCGTGACGCTACGCTACGCGTGGGGGAGCGATTCAAGTGGTCGCGGCGCCGCGCGATTCGAGGGCATCATGAGATCGCGCTCCGAAAAAGATCCAAGGAGTGTGAAGATCCTGGACAAATACCCAGACACTCCATGTGTGCCATATACGCCTACATTGGGGTGGTTTCAGGGGTCAATGTAGGCATATATGGCATACACGGAGTGTCTGGGTAGGAAGAATCATGCAATCATGTGGATGGCGGTCAGGCCCCGATTTCGACAGATCTTTCAAGTTTGATCACCCACCGGGTCTTCGACAAAGTTTAACTTTGATGTTAGTAACAACATCGTTAAACCTTGTTGTTAGCACATTCAGGAATCATCATATATTTTTGTTCAGGCAACTCAGGCGCAACTTCATGCCTGATCATGACATTTGACGATCCCAATCCCACTAGCCATTGGGTTCAATGCGCGCTGGGGCCAAAGCGTTCAGGAAAAGCTGGAATCTTAGCACGTGTCTAATCACAGTTGTTCTTCTCCCTAATCTGGCTTGCGTTAAGGATGGGCCAATGAGAATGGTCCAGGTGCCCAGCCTTCTGCACCCTTTTCAATTTAGTGATCTAGTCGTCACAGTTCTTGGCAGTTGCAACCAGTTGGAGCTTTTTGCACAGGGTTGTTCAATGATTTGTTGGCCCAAAGGTGCGGGGCAATGCACCAAGGTGAAGCAGCATGAACATTTAATGCAAAATGAGGTTCAAGTGCTTCAAGGATTTTCTACGTGTGCTAGCTGGGTTTGTGTTTGCTGTAGCTTCCACGCGATGCCCGATAGCAAGCCCAAGCCTGAGCAAGTGGAGCTGCTGAAGGCCGGCAGCAAGTTGAACGAGAAAAATGGGTCTCCTGCAATAACTTTGGTTGGTCAGGAGTTCTATGAGGTCAAGCTGACCACTGACTTCATCAATGAGCGCTTGCAGATTTTGGAAAGAAACCGGAAAAACAAGAAGGCACATTTCTGGATATAATTGTGGGATTCTTAGTTGTCTTAATTTTTCCTGTAGGCTCCCCTCCACTTCTCCTTCCTTGACATCAACGACAATTTCATTGATGAAGCCCAGGCCACTCTTAAAGGTAATGTATTTATATTACAATTAGCTAGCTGGTAGTTGAACCAGTCGTCATGATTCAGCAATCTTTAACTCCCTATGCACATGCGCAGGTTGTGGCCAACTTTGACTTCGTGCTAACCTGGGTTTCTGTCTCCGAATTTGCCTTTGCCCCACCCACGAAGAAGGAAGTCCAGGCAGGTTGCTTTCAAGAATCTAGTACTAGGTGCATGCAGTCTGTTCAAACCTGATCAACTCAGTTGGAATGAATATTGAGAACAAAGTTTTGGTTCCATTTTGGTGAGGCTGCACTTCGTTGGGCATGTACACGATTTCGTTTGTGCACATTCAAGAGCAAATCTGATGAGGAGGAGACCGTGTTTCTCACTGTCGATGTCATACTCTCCTACTTGCATCTCACAACCTGGAAAATCAAACAAGTGGTTGCAGGAGTGGCTGGAGACGGAGGCTGACCTTCACCGTGGATGTGCCGCGTACGTGGCTGAGAGGGCCAAACGCAATCCATCAGCCAGGCCAGGCTACTGGTCCATGATGTTCAGCATGACCCCCACTGTATCCACCAAAACTTGCCAGGATACCAGGTGTATGTTCTTCTCTCTAAGTCTCCCTAATGTGCTCACAGTAATATCTCTTGGATATTTTTGGCAAGTGCTTCATGACAGTATATATATATATATATCCTTGCCTTGCCAGGCCTGGACATCATGAGATGAACGTGTTGAAGAATACCTACCGCATGGCCTTGAAGGAGAGGGTCAATTATGTTCAGGTGTACCTGCACATAGGGTTTGCCACTGGCAGGAGTATTTTGACGAGCGCCCCAGTGAGGCCATGTCTGAAAGAGCCAGGTACCAAGAGTCTGTCGAACAGATTCGAGTACTTGCTGATTGCTAGATCGATGTGTTAACAGTCGATGGCATATTACATACAATTTGAATGAACCTTTAATTTAAAGCTTACTGCAACATACACCTGTTCCTCACAGCCCTTCCACCGCACCGTGTGCCCAGGCCAAGTCCCTGACCAATTTGGCGGCTGTGGAGGAGCCTGAGGCTGAGGTATCGGGAGCAGATCACGAAGCAGGTAATGAGGAGGCAGGTGGTGGTGCAAGTGGTGATGAGCAAGTGGATGTTTGGGTTGAAACGCATGGGATGACCCAAGAGCGTACACCACTCTTTTGCACCACTGAAAAACCAAAGCCGCCCCAGCGACATTGGCACATCAAGCAGTCTAGCTTTGCTACTCCTGATCAGAAAGTTGTCAAAGAAGACCCTGTTCGTCGTGAACTCTTCAAAGAGGGAGAGGAGGAGGAGCCTAAGGAAGTGGACCAGGAGGTTGGCAATTCCCCAGAACATGAAGAGGAGGTTGAAATAAAAAAGGAAACGAAGGGAACCTTTAAGGACTGCAACATGTACAGTACATTGTTTATTTGAACTTGCATGAACTAGATTTAACCAACCTATATCTGCACTTGGACCAGCTAGATCCCCTTGGATTAATTGTCACCCGAGCTCGATCCAGGATACAAAACCCTTGTCGGTGCCTGAGTCTCTTCCTGTTGCAGCAGCTGAAGCCACTAAGCGTCTGGCGTCCAATGAGAACTCTTGGGGATCAGCAGAGCTTCAGAAGGCCTGGCGCATGGAGTGAACTTAAACATTAATGAATGAAACATATATATATGCATATACCAAAAAAAAACATAACTACAACCGATCGCGACTGGTCTAGGCCCAAAAGGGTCTACGCAAAGCAGCCAGGGCAAATGCTGCTGATCCGGGTCAGGGTGGTCATGATGATGACCCTGACAATAGAGGGGAAGAATCTAGTGAGGCACCAGCTATACAGAAAAAACCTGCAGGACGAGGTAGGGGTCGTGGGCGAGGCCGGGGCAGGGGCAAAGCTCAAACAGGAAGCAAGCAGAAAACATCCAGTGCTCAAGCTAGTGAACGAAAACGACAGCGGGCAAAACCTGAGAAAGAAGAAGAGGAACATGAGGAGGCCTATGAGAGCAATGAGGAAGGTCGACGTGTAAAGAAGAAACCAGCAAAGAGTAAGGGAAACGAGGAAGATCAGCAAAAGCTTAGCAATCAGGACTGCGCGCAAGTCAGATTTCCCTCATCTGCACTGGTACGTACACAATATATATTGTCACTTGCAGGACCGGAGCCTACTGACGGAGTTGAAGACTATTGCAGATTCTGATGACAAATTTTTTGTTCCAGATCAAATCGGATCCGGTGAGAAAAAGTAACACCTAAGTTCTGATCTATGGCCAAACTCACATTCTTCCCATGAACTATAGTTTAATTGCGTCCCTCGTGCGCGTGCAAGGTCATGGATCATCCAGCCACCTGATCATGAAGACAGCAAGGCCTCAAGGATTGGAGTGGTGCTGGGGTCTAAGGAATATCTTCAACAAAATTGTGCTTCCCCAAAAGTATATATGCACATTAAAAAAAGCGCGATCAAGGTTCTATGCCAGAAGCTTCTACATTTACCAGCCTGACAAAATGGCGATCCGGAAGTACAACAAGGAACATGACACTACATTCTTGGCCTGTTCCTCAAATATTTGTACTGATCGCCAGAATGTGACTGAAGTATGTGCCTAGAGTCTAGCCAGTACGTTGATCAGGTGAACCGACACGGTGAGGGTGGGACGACCTTGGGGTGGTCAAAGGTCTCGTCAGTTTCTATGGCGCTTGACACCCAGCTGTGAAGCGAAGCAGGATTTCCCATAGCTTATAAATGTTGTACCGGCATCAGGTGGCAAGCAGCGAAGCTCTTTGCGGGCTGGAGCAAATAGTCCTTTGAGTTTTGGAGCCTAGCTAGCAGTCTGGGCTTATTCCAAGCTTCTCCTTTAGGCTTTGGCGCAACATGTATATATATATATATCACAGTCGTAACTGAATGTATTTGATCATGGTCCAGCTTTGATATGTTGCTTATATGTATGAGTCTAGAACTGCGCCAAATGGGAGGGTTTTAGAGGCTCGAGGTGATGAACTCGCTGCCAATCATGCAGAAAATTGGAGTTTCCTGCTGATCGATCACTTTTGTGAAGGGCCATTGATCCAATAATATTTTGGAGTTAGTTTGGAGTTATATACATAGATATAGATTAACGATTGCCCTGCAGCTGTTTTTGGAGGATATCGCTAGCTATATTTGCATTGAGGGATGGGAAAGGCAGGATGGCAGTATTCCGGCATGAGCTTGACCCAATCGGTCACCCGAGCCTTGCTGAAAGTTGGATTCCCGATGATTATGCCAGCACCTCAGCCGTGGCTGTCAAAACTAGTGCGTAGGTCATGTACATGGGTGGGACAACTAAATGAACACGGTTCTAGTTGATCACTAGGTGCCTGTACACGTAGGATACACCTGTGCGACTACTGTGCTCAACAGAATCCACATTTTCATCGAGCGATGCCCTCATAGTGCTGGTCTGTTATGTGCTAATATATATATATATATATCATTCATTTTGAGGCAGCATGGCAACAGCAACACCAGCTCACACAATTCAGGACCTGACCAACTACGACATGTTCTCAGGGGAAGGAGCCATATGGAAAAACTTTGAAGGCCTCAGCGTTCTTATTTATATATATACACCTGAAACAGAATCGAGTTAAATATTAGCCTTATAAATCCGGGAGTTGGTTTTGATTGCCCAGGCATGAATGAGAAAACGTTTGAGCCTCAAAGCGTCCTAGAACTTCAATCTTGTAGTTTGATTCTTTTGAGTACTGCGAAGGGCGCACATGGAGATTTTGGAATCACCAAGCCAAGACCTCACAACTGTGCCACAGCCTCATACACACCGGACCCATTCCCATGTATTATAATTATAATGTTGCATGATTGATATCCTTGAGGCAGGGCCTGGTGACCGCCACAACCCAAGTCCTGCGCTTGAAGCCCGGTAGTCTGCTGACTGCCGGGCTTCCCTGCCACTCTTTCATCTTCCTGAACAGCGCGACCCACCAGAGAAGCCAAAAACGACCATTTGGTGACCAAAAGAAACCATATATCGCTGTAGCGAATTTGTTCCTTGTCAAATTTGAGATCTTTACCTAGTTCAACATATTATTTAACAACAGTTTGCAACTAAAGCATACACCACTGATTTTAACCTGAGGCTTGGGGCTCGCCTCATCCTACTTTGCTTACTGGCCACGATGAGGGCAGCCTTCTTTATGATTGAACAACCGAGTTCAAGCCAATTCATCCACTTTCCTTATCTCAGATACCTGATGTTTGTTCTACGAGAACATGTGCCAGTATCCACAGTGAGGTTGTCACTAGTCATCATTTAGATTCGATTGCAAAGAAAGTTTCTCGTGCTCTTTTTGCAGCTTGGAATATAATAGAGCCCTCTGCAGTCTCAAACATATAACAGCTAAGTTGGATGGGTCTCTTTGGCGGCTTTTCTCCAAAGCTCACTTTGGGAATCGGCACCGTGTCCTCTGCTCAGTCAAAGGTACTTTGTTGTGCCACTACGCAGTACAAGTACTAGTACTTGTAAACGCTTCAGCTCACTCTTTTATTTATATATAGCTAGTTGGTGAGGAAATGGCTTGGAAGGCTTTACCGGCCTTTGACTCACCAGTTGAAGAAGAAATTGAAGCTGAGCTCGAAGGGTGTGGTTGTGAAAACCAAGCTGAAGAGCGGGAAGATCAGTGTGTGATCAGCTTAGCATTTTCATATAGATGCAATATTA